TGGTTTTCTGATTAAATAAAATAAAAACTATATAAATAAAAATGAATTTCCGTTCGTTAGTCTCGCTAAAACTCAAGAACGGCTGAACCGATTTGGCTAAATTTGGTCTTGAAATGTTCGTGGGAGTCCAGGAAAGATTTGTTTGCCGGATCAGCTATTAAAAAATTAAATCTAATTTCTAATAACCTATTTGATCCATTATCATCGTACTAAAATTATTATTATCCTAAAGTCCAAACTTGCTCGTACCAGAGATACTTTCTTCGTTGTAATGAGTGAGGTTAGTGCAGCAAGGGAGTGATTGACTGTTACGTAATACACAATAGAAAATAACAATTATATCATAATATTTTTTTATTGAATTGGAGGCAAACAAGCAGACGGATCACCGATCGCCGATCGGTAAGCGATCAGCGCCGCCCATGGACACCAGCAATACCAAAGAACTGATAAATGAATTGCCGGCAATTTAAAAACAAATACGCTCTTTTCTTGAAGGTTTGAAGGTCGGGTCGATTCAAAAATACCGCCGACGACATCATTCGACAGTTTTGCTGTACGAGGCAGAAAGCTACGAGAGAAGCGCACAATTGTGGCCTGCTGACCATCCAGGGATGGGTATGCTGTCGTAAAGACGCGGCAGGTATCAGGTCAAATAACTTCTCAGAGCACTTCCATCATCTTCTCAGAGCATATAAGCGATAGAAGATGCACAACCAAGTTACATCGCTACGCATTGCCAATTATGCAGGACCAAAGTGTATGTGTGTTAACGTACTAGAGATAAATCTTTATAAGAAGTAATATTTCCAAAAAAGGACAAGCTGGTTTGACACAACCTGTATTCATACATGTAGACGATTGTATATAAAGATTAAAACCGTTTTGCTAAATTATTGAAGATAAAATCTCGTATTTCAAAAATAAAATTACAAACTATTTATACGAAATTTAATACTGCATCTTAAGACTTGAAGTAATTATTCTTACATGGGTAACAGATAATTCTAACACATTAAAGGTGCTTTTTATACCTAAAAATGTAGGTATAATTTACTTAAAACCTTTTTATGGGACGTAATAAAAACATAAGGTTCTTACGTCATATAAAACGATCGATAAACAGTCATCGACCCTAATTTATTCACTATAAAAATAAATAAAAATAAACTTTATAAAGGTGTAGCCACACGTATAAATATCTTGCACCTAGCTTCACTGACGGACAAACTGACATACTATTATTTATTTCTTTGTTATAATATGTCTTTAGAATTTTGACAACTAGAACGCTCAACTATATTATTATGCTGAGGTGGAGACTCTTTTGGCATGGGCAGTAATATTAAAGTGCACGTACTTTAATATTACTATTATTATACCTTGTTTTTTTTTTGTATATTTAATTTCTGTTACTATTGTGTTGTAGAGGTATATTATAATATGTTGTTATACTTTGATGTTTTTTGTTCTTTTCTTTACTCTTTTAAGTTTATTATTAACTAGCCACTTCCGCGCGGTTTCACACGCTCTGCTCAGCTCCTAGTGGTTGTAACGTGATGTTTTATAGTCTATAGCCATCCTCGATAAATGCGCTATCCAACACAAAAAATATTCAAATCAGACTTGTAGTTACGGATTAGCGCGTTCAAATAAACAAACAAAAAAACAAACTCTTGCGCTTTATATAATAAGTATAAGTATAAAATATTTTGTATAAAACAATATGTACCTAAGTATCTGTATTTTATTTTTTATAATCTTTGTTTTGTGTGCCAATTGCAAAATATATGGTTTTTCTTGCTTTAACTTACTTTTTAACTTAAAATTGCTGTAATCTAGAACTTGTCAATTGTAATTTACGAATAATAATTGCATGCCTTGATTGGTGGAACATGATGAACTGCGCATTCATCTAACATCTTGAAATGCATCTAAATGTACTGTGTTCAGCAATAAAGATATTTGATTTGATTTGATTTGATTTTTATTATACTACATAATTATTTTTTGTTGACATTTCCAAAGTACATATTTATAGTTTACTTAAAATGCTTTGACTTTGAATTGTTAAGGTACTTACTAGAAAATAAATTGATATTGATTTGAAATAATTTCTACAATTTTTTATAATAATTATCGTGAGACATAATAAATTAACTAAAACTCGCGGGTTACTCACGTGAATATACTGAGAAAAGCTCTACTAGTTTTGAACCACAGATGGGTTCTTCCTCATGAGCAGCGTGCGTGGTCACGGCGTTTGGCAGTAGACTGCGCGACATCTAATCTATCATCTAATCTCTCGCGAAACTAGTAGAGCTTTTCTCAGTATATTCACGTGAGTAACCTACGATTTTTAGTTAATTTAGTATGTCTCACAATAGTTATTAGCATTTAGTTTATAAAGCAGGTTAGTTTCATTCCTAGTGTATCGCGGATCTGAGCAGGAATTTAAAAGAGGTAGTCTTCAGTCAGTAAGAGTATCACACTCTTTGTCACTCTTTTATGTCTCACCTAAAATAAGAGAAGAGATGCATGAAAGGGGGAATCATCAAACGCCTACGAGAAACGAGAAATAGTCAGTTACTACGCGACTAATCTCATTGAAGTGTTGCATACATTTAGGCGTACCGTAGAATATTACACGAGAATAATTGCGAGTACAAATTAATAAATTATTAACGATTGATATTAATCGGGTTCGAGTCCCGGGTCTGGCAAAGTATTACTGGGTTTTAAAAAAAATCTCAGTAGTAGCACGGAGTTTGGAATTCTGCGCGGTATGGGACTCGTAATATAAATAATGAAAAGTGAGTGTTACATTGTATAGTGGCATAATGTGCACCTCTGCCTACCCCTTCGGGGATAAAAGGCGTGATGTTATGTTATGTATGATGATATTCGAAATATTTGTTTTTTAATATGTTTCATGGGCCAACGTTTGGCCACTATCTGACCTGGTGGTAAGCGATGATGCAGCCTACGAACACAAACACTAACTCAAAAGCATTTATTTTAAATAAACCATAATTTGGACTTTTGAAATGTCAACAAATATAAAATAAATAATAGTTTGTCAATCTGTCCATCAGTGTAGCTAGGCGCTCGTTCCAAAATGTAGATTCGAGTGGAGAAAAACGAGCAAGAAACTCCATAATATATACTCCATCCGATGGAGCACGCCCATAAGCAACTTACTATCTCGGACCTTGAAGACACCCAAGTTATACCCTTCAGGAAATACAGACTCTGGCAAAGAATTCCACTCCTTAGTAGTACGGACAAGGAAGTTTGAAAATATATGACCAATTCTTAACTATATGTTTAGTGTAGTACCGCCCTAAGACGTTTTCAGTTTGACGTAGTTTAAGGTAACGATAAATCGTATCAAACACCTACAGTAACATAACTTAATTTAAAGAACAGCGGGAAATTGATTTACATTAAACAGAGCCATCTTTAATGGCATCTTATTTTTACTACATTTATTTTCTTAAGTGGATTTTTCTTCCGGAACTACGGACAACTTAACGGGTTGCCGGGGCTCCGGTGCAAAACAAGAGAAGGAACGGGGTGGTTTTTAGTCAGTAATAGTCTGACACTCCATTTCGCTTTACCCATGGCAGGAGAAGTCATTGGATGATTTCTCCGCTTGAAAAAACTAGACGTTTCTTAGATATTTTTTAAAATTCCAATCCAAAGGTTTGACAGCTAATAGACAGGAGATCTTAAAGGATTCATTTCATAATAGGATTGGTATAATATAATATAATATACAAGGATTGGCTGCAAAAAGCTTTACATAGAGAGGAGTAGAAGAAGGGTAGGGAGGCCTTTGTCCTGCAGTGGGACGATCATGGCTGAAAATAAATAAATATAATATGGATGGAGTAGAATAACAAAAGCAATGTATTCGTCAGGACTGCCCCAAAACTAATAAATAGAAAAATATATGGGCTTGAAGCCAAAAACCTTGTCATCATTGGTCGAGGATCAAAATCTCATAAATTGACTTTATTGTTTGTCTAACTGAACTCGCCACGCTACCGCCTGTACTTCATTCCACGCTACGTCTATCACTAAGAACGATCCCTACAATTTTATAGCTATCTACTCAATTACTATCCAATTAATTGTTTATCACTATTCTATTAGTTTATCTGTATATAAACCAGGAATAGATGTTACGGAGGTATTACTGAAACAATAGGCTTATAGTTCATAGTTAAAGTACAGAGCAGTGCCGGGTAAGTCTTGAACCATGTTATTTAAAAAAATAGATATTTTATTCGACTTTAAAATCCAGCTATTAAAATCTGATTGGTTACATGGAAGGTTTATTTTAAGGCAAAGTACTCAAACATAAATATTAGTAATCAATAACTGTATTTAAAGCGTGGTCAGTGATCAATATTTTTATTTTTGAGTGCACTTATAATACACTTCAAATATATGGAATTTTTTTTTTTTTGATATGTGTAAAAGTTTTCGAAACCACTGAACAACGTAAATAATTATTTTGCAACCATTTCTTTTCATCATCATCAACAGCCACTGCTGAGTGAAGCCTCTTCTCACACGGAGAAGGTTTGAGCGTTAATCGCCACGCTTGCTCAATGCAGGTTGGCGATTACAAACTTATAATTAGAAGTTATTTATAAGCCCAGGTTGCCTCACTATGTTTTCCTTCACCATTAGTCAGTGGTGTCTAGATAATCATATAACACGGAAAAAGTCACATTGGTACCTGCCGTTGGTAGGTTTCGAACCCGCACCCTCATGTATGAGAAGTTTGCGTCTAAACCTCCGGGCCACCACGACCATTTCTTTTACTTTTAATGTATATTAATAACCATTTTTTAATATTACTAAGCAATGCATCAGAACTCAGAACCTTTATCATACAAAATAGAGAAGCAATCAAAACAAAATCAACCTTAATTACAGACCATACGTAGTATTTTCTATCAAGACAAGAAAGAGAAAAAAACTCCACTATGGAGGCGATATCTCAAGCAGTGTCAAGCTTCACGAAAGTGCAGAACATTCTGAACATGCTGACGTACTTGAACCTGGCTGCTTATTTATGGCCTCAACCAGCCAACATGAATATCAAAGGTAAATTACATTTTATTACTTTTTCTATAGGGCTGTACTTTCATCTGAGGCAAGAAAAAGGTTTTATTTAATTATTTAATGTTTAAGTTTAAGCTATAACGAGCTAAACTTATAAACGGTTGTTTTATATTAATATTTGATAGGCCGACGTTTGACCACTATCTCGCCTGGTGGTAAGCGATGATGCGGTCTACGATGGAGCACGTCGTCCCATAAGCAACCTATTCCCTTGTACCTTGAAGACACCCAGGTATACCATTCAGGAAATACAGACTCCTGCAAAGAATTAGCTACTTCAGTATAGTTGGTACTGAATTTTGTATTCTATAATGGGGCTGACGTTTTTCATAATAATATGGGTAAAAAGCCCTATTTATAAAATAAAGATTAAAAAAATATTTTCTACTTATCCATTCGTATTAACTTATTTAGTTTACCCTGATTTACGTATTTTTATTTATATTTTCAAGTATACAATATTGATTAGATACCTATTCACAACGCCTCAAAATACTCCTAAATCTACAATTCCTTCATTCCACTTGTGTAACATAATACAAAAATAAGCAATATAAAACAATTCTGGAGTATAACAGGACAAGATGTGAAAAGAATAAATCTTTTAAATTAAGTAAAATCGCGAGTTACTCACGTGAATATACTGACAAAAGCTCTACTAGTTTCGAACCACAGAGGGGCTCTTCCTCATGAGTAGCGTGCGCCGTAACCCGCGTTTTTACTTAATTTAGTTTGTCTCACGATAGTTATTATAATAAATCTTTTGTTATGCCCTACAATTTAATTAAATTTTCTATTTAAGTAAGTATGTTAGGCTTATTAAAAACTTTGAAGATGGTTATCGCATCCAACGTTTTTGAGTTCATCATTAAAAATCGTATGGAGCAAGGAGAATATAATCTTAGGCACTCCAAGTTCTCATACTTGTGATTATAACGAAAACCTTAATTTAGTGTGTTGTCGTACTTGACTGTTATCATGATTAAGACTTTAAGGTTAAGGGCGCACAGCTCAAAGTCAAAGCATTTATTTCAATTAATCCACGTACAGAATGTACCTAAATATTATGTACGTACATACACATACAAACACGTGTTTATCAGTATGCCTGTAAGTGAACCCAAGTGATCACTCACGATTCTAGAGAAGATCTAGGAAAAATCGCAATTATTACTTAAATAAGAAAGTCGAAGAGAGAGTCACCATGGACAATGTTATATTTTTCCAGGTGGTGAATCATTTGATTTTCTAATCGTGGGAGGTGGCACAGCTGGATGTATTGTCGCAAGTAACTTGGCGCAGATGAACGTCAGCGTCCTCGTTATAGAAGCTGGCTGTCAACCCACTATTGATACAGAGGTATTTACTTGTTAAGAACCTATAGACAAGTATGCAATAAAGTTAAGATTAAGTTTTTGCCCGTTTAATGATATAAATGATACATCACATTATCTGACTTGAGTCGGTCCACGGGGCCTTAATGTAGTGTCCACTTATTTAACCAGTTACGAGTCTCATGTCATGCCCTTTACTTACTAAGATACAAATTGTATTTATAATCTTACAATATTGTCACATTTCAGATCGCAGGATTGTTCCCGTTTTTAAAAAACCGTAATTTTGATTGGAACTTCACAACTGTAGAAGATTCTACTAAGAAGTATCACAGAGGAGGAGTTACAGAAGTCGAGCAAGGTAAAGTGCTTGGTGGATCATCTATACTTAACTACATGATCTATGGTACTGGTAACTGCAAAGATTATAAAGATTGGGCAAATATAACTAATGACTCAAGTTGGACGTACGACAACATATTCCCACTCATTAAAAGAACCGAAAAAGTAATTGACAGCCGTATACTCCAATCATCTGATGTAGCTTACCATGGAACACAGGGTAAAATTGCATTGAAAAAGTACCACTCTAGCACAAACAATGGATTCTATGACTCCTACAAAGAAATGGGATATAAAGTTGTAAACGATATTAACGTGAAGAATCCTCTTGGTTTTACTCCCGCGTATTTCACTATTAGCGATTCTATTAGACAAAGCACAGCCTATGGGTTTATAAGACCAGAGAAAGATAACCCTAATTTAAAGGTCATGTACAGATCATTGGTAACAAAAGTCTTGTTCGATGATAACAAACGTGCTATAGGAGTGGAGGTCCTTACAAATGATAGGAAAACGATAACTTTATATGCAAATAAAGAAGTGATTGTAACTGCTGGACCATTTAAATCACCTCAGTTGCTCATGCTTTCGGGTATTGGTCCACAGGATCATCTGGAAAGTAATAACATTGAAGTGATTTCTAACATACCGGTTGGACAAAATCTTCAAGATCATCCAACGAATGTTATTATACACAAATTAGGTGTGGTACAGCCTGTATCTCCAAGAGACCCTCATCAGTTCCCAGTTAATGTTATGGACGGTCGAGTAGCCATTAATAAGTGCCAAAACTACGCAGACTACCAAGTTTTGTCTGGAGTTATAACAAACTCAACACTATTTTTGGAAATCTGTCTCTACACATTCACGTTTACTGATGAAGTTTGTGCCCGTATTGTGGAACAAACATCTAATCATCAACTGCATTTTATAACTCATAGACTTTTGTACCCTGAGTCTAGAGGAGAGGTGAGACTTAACTCTACTAACCCTGAAGACAGTCCCGTAATTGACCCAAAGTACTATACAAATGAGAATGACTTGGAAAGGCACGCTGAATACATTGAACATTACAATAAAATTGTGGACACATCTTATTACAAAAGTCTTAATGCTTCCTTTGTGGATCCTAAACTGGAGTCGTGCGATGGTTTAGAAGTGGGATCTAAAGCTTACTGGAAGTGTTACACTATCGGTATGTCTACTACTTTACACGATTACGTGGGAACCTGTGCAATGGGATCTGTGGTAGATTCCAAACTTCGAGTTAATGGTGTAAAGAATTTAAGAGTTGCCGATTCCAGTGTCATACCGCAAATAATTGGATCTTCGGTTCAAGGAGCCGTCATGGTGATTGCACAAAAAATTAGTGATTTGTTGCAAGAAGAGTACGGTCTGTAGGTTCAATAAACACGGATATAAAATTATTGTCTGTTTCTTATATTCCCACTGAAACTTTCATTCATAAACATGAAATTTAAAAAACATCACCGTGCATGCAGTTTAGTAACAGACGAAAGTATGCAATTCTATCAAAGTGCATACTTTCATTATATATGGTAGTGTTAGACACAAAATAGATAAATCTGCATTCTAAACTGGTATAGATAAATCAGTAACAATGTAATTATTAATCCAAGCATGTGCTTTGTCGTGCGAGATGAGAAACGTGTGTCTAACTTCCATATTTAATAGACAAGTGTAGTATCTGAATTTGATCGAATTTGATGGCTAAAACAATAGAAACTTCTTAAAGAATCCAGATCGTTGAACTATAGCATATTATTTTTTGAATGTCATGCAGTTAGGTAAAAAGTAGCATTTTATGTGGACCTGCTTTACGCAACTTGAACAGATCGAGGTCACTGTTTGATTGCACAAAAAATTTTGGGGGCCCTTTTTAGTTTCCCACATAATCCGTAACGACAATATGATACTTCTGATGTCGTAGATGAACGTAGGCTAGTGTCTGCTTATCAACAGATAGGCCGTCAGCTTCTACCATGCACGAGTTTACATGTATACTTATACTTTATATATATTTAATACCTATATCTGTACGTAGAAATCTGGAGGGTTTGTTTAAGCGCACTAATCTCCGGATCTACACGTCCGAATTGTATATATTTTTCTATGTTGGATAGTTTATTTATAAAGGACGGCTATAGTTACAGATATGGAAATGAATAGATTATTGGCTCTAAAACATCACACTACAGTCTATAGGAGCCGAGCAAAGCGGGTTGGGATCGAGAAGGAACAGCTATTATTTGTATAAAAAACATTGAAGTTAAATCTGGTGTACAGTAGCACACTCACGCTCTCAATATTATTGTGATCACTCGCAGTAGACAAGCGAGAGCAATATCGCTCAATTGGTTGCAGCCATATTAAGCCAAAGTGCTCTTCCCATACTAAACGTTTATTGGTACAATGCGACTGTTCTACAAATGAAATTAAAAAGTTTAAAGTTACTATGTGTTTGTGTGGTGTGGGGCATGAATACCTATGAAAAAATACCTACTTCAAAATAAAACGTTGTTGTAAGTACACACATGTTTTTAGTCGGACAGGAGATTGTGAAATGAATACTTTGATTTTGACCTCCGATGAAGTTTTATCAGTACACAGAAATAAAGAAGTCGTCAAATTTATTAACTAAAATCTCTGATTGCTCACTGGCTGAGTGAGCTGCGCGACGTCGCCGCGACCGCGCACGCTGCTCATGAAGAAGAACCTCTCTGTGGTTTGAAACTAGTAGAGCTTTTCTCAGTATATTTACGTGAGTAACCTGCGTTTTCAGTTAATTTAGTATGTCTCACGATAGTTATTATGTTTGTACGAGTCAGCGACTGTACATCACACGCACGCGCGCTTCATGTCAGCAGATTTTAGTTTATTAATTTCATTATAGTTATAGCAATAAATTTGTATTCAGTACATGTTCAGCACTCAAATACATCAGTACTCATCAATCATTAGTTTAGTTGATAATATAGTCGACGTGTTAGTTTAGTGTATCAATAAATAGCATCTCACCAGACTATCAAGCGACTTATTTCCACCTAGACTCCAAGTTGTGTGAGAATCATTCAACAACTCATACATCTTTATGGTCCTTCGAGCCGGATTCAACCAACGACATCATCAGGTACGAAGTGCTTCTATCTACGATAGCGAATCGGTTTGGCTGGTCTTCCACAAGCGGATCGCCCCAGTCAGATTGAGAAGGCGCACATATCGTAGTAGAAAATACTTCTGATCCTGAGATCATCATACCCCGGCAACAAAACAAGAGTTAACTGAAGTCAACAACAACATTGTCAAAGGTAAATCAGAAACTCGAAGTTTTCATCACTCATCTTTCAACATGGAGGGAGCGATTGAAACTCAATATCAAATCATGCAAGCCATGAACACCGTCCTGACAAACTTCAAAAAGGGACGGACCTAGCCGCAAAACAACTACGAATATTAAGAAGAAAATGACCTTCTCGACAAGTATTGGGCTGAGTTCCAAAACAATCACGAAAAAAATTAGTGAGAGGGAAAATCTTACTCATCCTTATTTTGCACAAATTCTTTGAGCAGACTAAGGGATTCTATAATAGCACTCGTGAATACTTAGTGAAGTATTTAAACCTAGACCAGAAACCAGTGTCTCCAATTTTGAAGTCATCTGCTTGGACATATGACCCAACACCGTCCACTTTACATGTGGCAGCATCAGAACCCATTCAAGAACAAGGTGACGAGGGACAAGAAACCGCGCCGCTTACAATAAAGGTGCCGGAAGTAGCAGAGCCTGAGACCAACAGCAAGGTAGGCGAGATGTTACGCAAGCAAAGAAGCAACATCAAAGCTTTTCAAAGAAACGCGTCTAATATCAACTTAGACGTTCTTAAAGATAAATGGCAGTTTGAAGATGCCTTAAAGGTATTAGAATTAAGATGGAAAGCAGTGGATACCCTTTATTGGGAGCTTGATAGTTTACCCAATAATACCGACATACAATATGAAATGTCATACAACACTTGCGAAATTATTTACAACGAAATGAAGACGAAAATCAACTCAAAAATGTGGTCAGTTTCACATCGAGAAAAGTCTACACCGAAGATTGAAATTCCAACCTTTAATGGAAGTTATTTATATTGGACGGCATTTAAAGACTTGTTCGTCGAAACTATTCACTCCAATCCATCTCTCTCGAATGCCCAGAGAATGCAGTTTCTCAAAAGTAAAGTTAAAGGTGAAGCTGAGAAACTTATTCAACATTTATCAATAAGCTCAGAGAATTATGAATCAGCTTGGGAGATCCTCAATCACCGGTACAATAACAAGAAATTGATATTTTCCTCGCACGTCAATGCATTACTAAGTGTACCCAACACCCAAAACTTATCAGCAACATCAGTCAAACGGCTTCACGACACGACTAAAGAATGCCTAAATGCAATTAAGAACCTTGGCGTCAACACATCGTCATGGGACCCATTGATGGTCCATTTATTGGCACAAAAGCTGGATCCATCACTCATAATGATACTCAGAGTCATTAGACGACCCGCGCGAGTTACCGAAAATAAAAGATTTTCTTAACTTTCTGGAAGGCAAGTTTGTATCATGGGAATCATCTCGTCGCAAACCAGAGTCAGCAAGAACATCATATCAACCAGAGTCAGTACATAGCAACAAGAAATTTCACAATTCATACAAAGCATTCAGTACACATCATCAACACGTGAATAATTATTTCAAATCGAATGCATATGTAAATGATAATGAGGACAGTACAAAATGCCCACATTGCATATAAAATTAAATTATTCGTGTAAAACGTTTCTCGAATTACAACCGAAGCTAAACGGAAGGCAGTTGCGAAATATAATTTATGCAAAAACTGCCTGCAAGCACATCGCAACGAATGTATGTCACGGAAAAGATGCCGCGTCTGCAGAGTGATCATAATACCCTTCTTCACGACGCATATAGTAAAGGAAACGGGCAGACATTAAACATCGATCGAACACATCAAAATTCAGTTACTGACAGCAAAAGCAAAATCACTAACAGCAGTAGCAATCATGTATCTCAAGAAGACCTATCAGAAACTTTGCTTACAACAGTATTGATCAAGTAAAGGCATATGATGGGACACTGATAGTGTTAAGAGCGCTTCTTGACCAGGGTTCTCAGACATCCCTAATAACGGGAGAGAGCAGCCCAGTTGCTAAAAATTGCGCGCAGCCGATGCAAGGGTGTCATATTCGGCGTCGGAGCGACCGAAAACAATTGCAAAGGTATCATAACGATCACGTGTAGCGCCATTCACAATGACTACACGTTTGACACCAATGTGTTTATCATGCGCAATTTGGTGAATAAACTGCCCAATAAATCATTCAAAATACCAGAATCATGGACATTTCTGGAAAACATATCATTGGCAGACCCGGAATTTTATGTGAGTCGTCCCGTAGACATTCTGCTTGGAGCCGAAATATACTCGAACATAATTCAAGAGGGTATCATCAGGCAAGATAAGTCACATCCAGTAGCACAACAAACACGCTTGGGCTGGATTTTATGCGGAAACGTGCAAACCTTTCATTGCAATGTCGTAATCAATAACATAGACGACATTCAGAAATTTTGGTTAATTGAAGACATAGCAGAAAATTCAACTATGTCCCAAGACGATTTAGATGCCGTACAATATTACAAAGAAACGACAACTCGCAATGAAGATGGTCGCTACATTGTGAAAATACCATTCCAAACGAACTTTCAAGAAAAGTTGGGAGAGTCTAAATCTATGGCATTAGCACAGTTTCGTTCACTTGAAAAGAAGTTATGCAAACAACCGCAGCTAGCCGAGACCTACACCAACTTTATACAAGAGTATAAAGAACTAAAACATATGGTAGAGAGTACTAGTAACACAACACCGAATTGTTATTTACCTCACCATGGAGTATATCGCGCCGATTCGACAACAACTGCACTTCGAGTAGTGTTCAACGCGTCAGCAAAGACATCTACAGGCTACACGTTGAATGAACTCATGAAACGGGGTCCAAATTTACAGCAAGATCTCATGTCATTGATTACGATGGAGACAATATCAGTTCGCGTATACAGCATATTGAAAAAATGTATCGCCAGATACTTTGCAGCCGAGATCATCAAAAATACCAAACGATACTGGCGGAGTTCTCCAACACCGTCATTGCGTGAATATCAGCTTGCCACAGTCACGTATGGCATGAAAGCAGCTCCCTTTTTAGCATGATGACATTGAAACAGTTGGCTATTGATGAAGGTTACAAATACCCCAATAGCAAAGCAGCAAACACATTGAAAAGAAGACTTCTACATGGATGATCTTGTACGGAAGT